GCGCGCGGCCCGGCCCGGGCCGGCCTCGCTCGCCGCGCCTCGCCATGTCGCTGCACGGGAAGCGGAAGGAGATCTACAAATACGAGGCGCCCTGGACCGTGTACGCCATGAACTGGAGCGTCCGGCCTGACAAGCGCTTCCGCCTGGCGCTGGGCAGTTTCGTGGAGGAGTACAACAACAAGGTGGGCTGGGCCTGGCCCTCGCCCCCCTCCCCCCCGGGGGCCACGGGCTGCTCTCTGCCGCGGCCTGGGTCTGCACCGCGGAGACGGGGGGTGGAGGGGACCTCGGGAGCCGCCTTGTGCAGGAGCGGCCCCAGCTACATCATCCCGGCCTAGGCTGTGCCAAGCGGGCCCTTAAAAGCCTCCAAGGATGGAGAGTCCACAGCTCCTCTTGTAGCCTGTTTAGTGCTTCACTGCCCTCCTGGGGAGAGAGTCTTCCTAATATCCAAACTCAACTTCCCTTGCTGCGGTTTGAGACTAGAAGCTGATGCTTGTGGCTCCAGAGCAAGGCTGGAGGCTCCTGGTAAATGCCCCGGGTGGAAAAGGAGCCCCCCAGCCTGGGAGCTGGCAGGGCCATGCTGCGCCGAGGGGCTTGGGTGGAAAGGCTCTGGCATGGCACGTGCCCAGATGTGGGCTTCCCAGTGCACTGCCACACCGCTCGGGCAGCCTTGGCACGCTGTGGAGCACAACTCTTGTGGCTCCCCCTTGCAGGCTTTGCATCCTGCTTGCGAGATTTCATTCCAGTGGGAAAGCTTCATTCAGAGATAAAAGTTTTCATGTAGGCAGATCCCTTGTTGACTTTCCAGGTCTCCCTCCGCTCCCTTGGCTTCCTCAGGGAAGTGAGTCCTCACTGTCTGTCCCTGGCAGGGTGGGCTGCTCCTCCAGTTTATCCACACTGAATGCAAGTCAGAAGTCTCATCTTCCAGGCTCACCCCAGCTAATCACTTCTGCTGGCCCTGGTTCAGTCCACTCTGTGCAGACCCCAGGAGCTGTTCATCATATGAGGGAAGTGTGATGGTAGAGATGAAACAAAGGAATAAATATTATAGAGCAGGGCTGTCCAAATTCTGAGCCCCTGAGTGCTGCACCGCTGGGGGCCACAGGCTGCACAGAGCATGACACGCAGATGCTCTTCACCTCCCTACCACTCCCACTGCACAGCAAACCCACCACAGGCAATGTCCCACCACCACAACCGTGCACCACTCAAGCATGGGCACATGACTTCACCTCCCTTTCCCTTCCCTGTTCCACCACATGGAGGATTCTCCAGCTGTTGTATATGCTCAATCCCACTTTGGTTGGGGTCCTGATCCTCCCACCCTCTTCCTCCCTGCATAGCCCAGGACTTACTCTCAGGACTGCTCCACCTACTGGAAGCTAAAGAGTGGAGTTGGGGAGGGAGCTTGGAGACAGATGGACAGCCCTGTTACAGACTATGTTGAATATGGTGTATAGACAGTGAATTCTTCAGTCATGGTGTGGCTTCACTGTAATCGTTAAGTTATTGTCTATACAGCAATATATAAAGTGCTTTCTAAGTTAATTAATTTATTTACTAATGGTTAATTTACTTCTGACCAGCACAGAGTTTAGTTGACAGTTTGGCTTCGTGATGTTCTTTTCCTACTAGTGGGGAGTTTTATGGGGGGGATCCTCTGGGAGCAGAGTAATTTTTAATTAATAATTTTCAAAATAGCCTATGGTGCTACCATCTTCCATTAGTTCCTGTTTTGCTTAAATATCCCATTTGTTGTGAAAGAACCACGTAAGCATGATAAAACAAATATACTGAGTGGTATCAAATGGACTGAAAGTGAAATTTCCATTTTTTTTCTTTTGATTATAGTAGTAGGCGTTACTTGTAATAACCAGTGGTACGCTTTCAGGCAGAAGTATTTAGGTTTCGCTGTTTACCGGCATACGGTGGGAGGGTAAAAACCAACTTGTGTGTCACTGTTTGACAGAAGCTAGTGAAGCTTGACAGGACTGCTTAATTGCTCATTGTTGGGTCCAGAGAAGTTAGTTTCTGGCTGTCTGTCACCATAAATAACGTAGTTCTGGTTGGAACGTGCTTTCATTTAAAACCCTATGCAATCAACTTCCTCCAAAAATTCTTCTCCTGATCTGAAAATTTTGAGCTCCATTTCATTCTAAAAGTGAATTCTTATTCATTTAAAAAGGCTTAAATAAAATCTATTTTGGAAGGGCAAAACAATGTTTTTCTTTTTTGAAAACTCTGTGCAGTGGATAATTTGACTCTGAATGTTAAAACTTTACAGGACAAAGGATAAACTGATGCCCTCCTTGAAAGATGAGTTTAGCGGTAGCCACTAAAAGCCAACTTTTACCAACAATTTCCAGGCTGTGGCACCTTAGATACCAGTATTTCTGTGATAAGTTAGCTGATGCTTACTGTTGGACTGTCTCTGCTGTACCAAGATTGTGTCCTCACCTGATGTGTATTCATTGATGTAGATGCTGTTGTGTCATACCTTCTTGGTGTCAAACCTGAGAGGTTACAATGGTGATGCATTTCATTAAGAGATCAAGGCATTGATTAAAAAGTCAGGCTATGTATGCTATGAGGTTGCAATCTATTGTAAATATTGTTACTGTAATTAGAAGACCTTATATAATAAACCCCAGCAGTTATTGAACTAGATTGGATTGCTTAAGAGTACTGGCCACATTTTGTGGTCTGGCTGCTGAGAAGTACCAAAAATAAGTTTGTGGTTTGGGGAAGAAAGCTGGTGTTACGCCATCTCTATTCCCTAAGACTGAGCTCCTCCAAGGGTTCTTGTAACCTGTAGTAGTCCCATCTGTCTGCCTTTAGGCTGTTCTGTCTTTCAGATTTGAAGTAGTTTGAAAGCAGTCAGACTACATACTGTCCTGCCCTGGCTCCTTACACCTATGGTAGCTGCATACAGAGGCAGTGTTAGGCTATTTAAATCACTGCTGTCCTATGGACATTTTGCAGGTGTCTCTTTTATACTTAAACTGGGCCAAGTATGTGTCATCTTGTTTTCATTTTCTGTAAGTGCTCAGTAGTGGGAGGCCTACACAGTGTTTCAGGAATTAAAAATCAGGAGTATGAAAGTGGGGTTCAAGTCAGTTTATCATAGTATCAAAAATGGAGATACATGCTTTATGATTCAGTTCAGTTTCTAAAACACCTGAAACAAGACTTTCATATCAAACATTTGGTTGTTCCTCAAATTGCATCACAGGTCAATAAGTCTGGTACTGTTTAAATGGTATATGGATTTTCCACCTGAATAGTATTAATAATACAACCATCCAAGTAAAAATATTACTGATTTAATAGAGGAGATTTGTATTTTTCTTAAAATAGAAATGTAATTATTCTTAAGATTATTGATACTGACTGTCACCTCTACTTGAAGATTGAGCAGAGAGGTACACATTTCTGCACTCCTAGATAGAACCTAGTTGTATTCAGGATATTTGAATTCCATCACTGAGATCCTTATGAATGACCCACCACAGTTTTGTTTCTTTTAATGTTGCAGAGGGTATCAACATTTTTTAGGGAAAAAAAAGAAGTTGGGTAGTTCCCAATAGACCAGTGATTCTTAGCCAAAATGCCATGGCACATTGGGATGCCTTGAGATCTTTTCAAGGGTGCCACACAATGTTAGCACTGATAGGTATACAAACGTGATTCACAAGACAAACCCAGAGATTTCAAATAGTAATCCATAGTGTTAAAAATATTTTGATCAGTTGTAGTCTTTCTGAGGTCTTTGCAACACAAAAAATTGCTCTATTTTTTTCCATAGTCAAAAAATGTGTAAAAACTAAGCTGGAATTTTCTGAGAGGTGCCTTAAATCTAACAAGGGATGCTTTGAATCTCAAATGGTTGAAAACCAGTGCCCTAGATTCTTCATTGTCCTGAGATTCAAATACTCTCCAACTACATAAGGGCATGCTAGTTGGAAAGTAGCCCTTTTAAATCTAGTTCATATCTATTCATGGGTATGATATAATCCCTACAGATCGTGTAAGACCTTAATTTAAGTCTAATTTGCAATAGTTTGGTAATGTTGGACTGTAAAGTTTGGTCACTGTTTTGATACCAGAGTTTCAGGGATAAGTAGACTTTTTTTAAAGAATAGCTTTATGGAGCAGGTGTCCTTTTACATTAAATGCCAGTTAAGGTTAGTTGCATAATGAACTCCAAAACATTCCTGTTTAGAGGAACAATGAAAATGTCAATGGCTTCTTATTCATTTTATATATCTTTGAATAATATATTATGTAAATCTTTAAGGGATTCAAAACAGTATTTCTCAATTCTACTACATTTCTTTTGGAAAATACAGACTTCCTTCCTTGTGCCATATTTCTAATGCATGATTTTCAATTTTGATGTTTAAAGTATTTTATGTTTTTAAGGACAGAACTTTCCCAAAAAAGCACTAATATTACCACAGTATATCCTCTTAAATCTTTACATTTCTCCTGTTAAGAAAGGATTCCTCACCAGAGCTTGAACCACCTGACAAGTTACAAAAATAAAACAGTATTGTAATCCCTTATCCTTGACAACCATCAGACTCTAGCTTTCCTTCCAAACTTAACTCATAGCTTCCTCCCCATGCAGTTTTAACTTAATCAAACCCTACATAAATGCACTTCGTAGTATGCTATGAAGACCAACAGATCCAGGCTGTTTTGGTTCCAGGAAACCTTTGTTCACCTAAGACAGTAATGGCCAACATGTGGCACAAGTGCCACAAATGGCATGGGCAGCCTAGGTATTTAGCACATGGCTGATTAGGGAGAGGACAGGCAGCAGATAGAGCAGGGAACAGAAGGCAGAGCAGGAGATTAAAGGAAGGGGATCAGAGTGGCATTCAGGGAGGATACAAGGATAATTTTTGGCACACCTGTCAAAAAGGTTGGCCTCCATTGACTTGTGATGCTTTTGCTAATTATGTTACTTGCATTATAGCCTGGGAAAAGAAGTGCTTTCTTATGTGTAAGTCCTGAAAATATGTAGGACCCTAGATCAGCAACTGAAGTTCATTTAGAACACCCTCCCACTTTCTATTGGTTTTCAGTCAGTTGGAGTAATGTGACTCAGTCTGCACCAAATAAGCTTCTGGGCCAGCGATGCTTAACCTTTTGGCCCCGTGGGCCAGGTGAGTGGTGTGAG